GAGGGGGTCGGCATATTTGCTTAATTTAGTTGACCCAATTCTGAACGCTTCTGAACGCTTGTTTAGACTTGTTCTGAATTCTAGGCGTCCCATACTGGGTGACAAGTTTTTGTTGTTTTTCAAAGCGCTCAAAAACGGCCGAATTCTAGGTAGTGCGACCACGTGAGACACTCACTTGGTTTAATGGGTCTGCCTGTGAGATTGCAATTCTCTCTGTATGGAGACATTGAAAATATATGAAAACCACGGGTTTCTGAGCAGGCCGTCAAAATCAATTAATTGAATGCATACTGCTTAAGTAGTCATTTATTACAGGATATAATTTTTATAAGCGGCCAGGAGGAAATTCCTTGAAAAGCCGGCATCCTGACGTTACCGAAATGACTTGAGCTTAGGCTGTACTATAATCAGTATCAGAATCCTACTTAATGCCGGATTACGAGTGATTGTCAATCTTCCGCAAATTTCGGCCTTTTGTATGAAATACCGACTGTAATGTACTGAAGTTGCCACTTTTGTTTAGCAGGTGTAATTTTGCAGGCGGCGGTCAGGAAGCCGCGCGCTCCCTAATCCAACATTCTGACGGGACTGAAATAACTCCAGGGGCATCATGCACTGAAGTGAATCCCTACTATAACCTCAATCCGGCAATCTTTCCTGTACAGTTTCATATTCTAGAGTCTTACTTTCAATTGCAGTACGCCACTTGCGCACAAGACCCACGCTGCATGCCTCGAAATATCGATTTCGGGAGGAAATTAATTTTTCCTGGTTCAGCTTCTGATGGCTGCCTTAAATCATTTTGGTCACTTCGCACTTCCGTCCATCTCACCAGCATTGAGACTATTAGCGCATGTCAACTGAACCACAACGGGTGAAACTAAATAGTGGGGCGCTGTTTTAATACTTTTTATTGGTCTATTTGCTTGCGTTGTTAACCAATAGGAGTCTGTTCTTATAGTTTTCTCGGTTTATGTGCTGCCGCTGCTGAGCAATAGGCGTTTCTCTCGGTCTTTTTGTTT